TTGTTTTTGCTTTGTTTTTGCATTTTCATTTGCTTTTATTTTGCTTTTTTTTTTCACTTTTTTTCACAAAAAAAATTATTTGATGGTTGGCCATGTATGGCTGCCATCGCCCAACATAACAACATAACTTGATTGCATTGCTTGTGTATTGGATATCAATCAAGACCCTTTTAGAATTGATTGTGCAAATTAACTTTCAGTTAACAGTTAATGGTGGAAATCAATTCTTATACTTAGATGTTAGTTAAAGTCCTTTTATTTGATGTAGCCTTGTAGTGGGGAGCAAACAGATACAAAATCAATTCAAGTTAGTTAAGCATCACGATTTCCACAATTGATCTTAAATCGACTTTAAGCACAATCTGATACTAAATCAAAGCCACCACCAACTTTGAAAAGGACTTTGACTAAAATCTAATTGTAAGAACTAGTTTCCACAATGAGTTTTAAAGAGAACTTGGCAATGATTTTTATTGCAATCTAATATCTAATAAATAGCAAGTTCCACAATCAATGTTAAAAGGATCTTGATTGAAATCTTCTAAGTTAAGTTTGCCTAATTCTATTTTAATTCCAGTTTAGTTCGTTTAAGAACACACATGTTACAAAACCCTATATTTTACAGTGTTTTTTGCCCTAGGAGTGCTGGGAATAAGACACAAACTATGTTTTTGAGTAGATAGTATTTGTTTAAAGTAATCCCTTGGAATATTCATTGCTATATTAAAACTGCTTTATGTACAAACTTCTAATTCAAAAGGCTCCCTCTAGATCTGATCACTTCTGTGAAAAAATATAAAGCTTTCATTTCAAAAGCTTTCCTCTGGATCTCTGGAAATAGTTATGGTATTTTAAAAAAGCTATAAGTATGTATGTAAGTGTTTCTTTCAAATGCTTTCCTTCAATGAAAATACACAAATCTAGGAAATCTACTTTCCCAGAGATCCAGAGGAAAGCTATTGAATCTAGATATGTATAGTATTATATCTTCATTCGCTCATGATGCTACATTCATTGTGGGCAGAGAGAGAGAGATTCACCTGATAATATTTATCATTGGTGTTGCACATTGATAGTGGGCAGACGAAGAGCTGTTATTTGTTGTCATTGACATTGGACATGGAGACTGGGCACAGACAGATCAAAAAAATTGCGTTTCGCCTAGTTCTCAGAGCAGTTTTTGAAATTTTGCACGGTATTTACAGTGTTTTCTAAGGGTTTTGAGCTAGTGTGTGCTCTCCCAAGCACACCCACCCTCTTGTTTTTCTGCCTTTATGACTCAACGTCGTTTTTGGCCCGTCGAAGCCGCTCATGCAGTTTGGAGGGGAGAGGAGAGAGCAGAGAGCGAGGCGAGGGGAGGTGAGTGAGAGGTTGGCGCTTAGGGAGTGAGTCCGTCAGTCAGTCAGTCGGTCAGCCAGCCAGTCAGTCAGTCGGTCAGCTAGTCTGTTAATTACTCCCACCGAGACACGTTGCACCCGTCTTTATGCCCAACTCTCAATCTTCGTCACCTTGCTTTTTCCACCAGGAAGTCTATCACTGTCACCAAAACTTTTGTGGGACCAGCCGCAGCCTGCAGCAAATGTATTGTCGTGGAGCGCAACCCCAGTTTTGCGAAAGTCCTGGATGCCTGAAAAGTCTATATTCTATATAGCAGACTGATACAAGACTCCAGAGCACCAGGCTTTTTCGATGCATTTCGAGGTACATGGAGAAGCACATTTTCAGCCCGGCCTCAATGGACAGCATGGGTTTTGTGCTGGACAAGTCGCTCTCCAAACAATGTGTTTCCACAGGTGTGGGCTGCACCACTGACATGCCTGAGGTAGAGAGCTGTACTGAGGCTTTGCAAGTTGACCTCATATCAATACCGTATTTGGAAAACCTGCAGCACTGCTCTCGTGAGCCCTGAGACTATCATCCATGGATTCTACCAGCTGTTGCTGATGGTTTACCTGGTTCTAGATGGCGCCGGTTGAGGCAGACAGTTGTGCGGATCTCTCACTTACAGTAAGTCAAAGTATAGTTGACAGATCAAAGTTCAGCCACAGGCTACGCGTCATGGGAATGCTCGGCTTGCTGCATGGGCCTTTGTGTTTTGCTTCCACTCTGATCCACTCACTCTCTGATTGTTTGTCTTCTCTCTGCCCCTGAGCGAAAAGAAGCACAAAGCACAGAAAGTACAAGAAAGCACACCAAAGCACAGAATGTGTAAAAATCCTCTCACTGGAGAGTGAAGAGCTCCAGCTCTTCGAGGTGTGGACGCAAAGTGGTGGACCACTTAAAGCCTGCAGGAAGTGGAGTGATTCTACCGCTGAAGATTTGGGACAGGTGACCCATGGTGACACTCCTTGAAGTTGAAATTGCTTGAATTCACTTGATTCAGCGGCTTAGCGTTTGGCGAAATGGCAGGTCGTTGAAGTTTTTCCATCCTGACGCCGGAATTGTAGGCTCCAGCCTGCATTGTGTTTGGTCGGCCAACAGGGCAGCTATCAAGATCTATCAAGAGTTTGTGTTTTGTGCCGAAGCCTTCTACAACCTTTAGATGCCGCTTGAAGCAAGCTTGAAAGGAACTGGAGCTGATTTTGTCCGCAGCCTACCTACAGTCTTACTGTGTTTATTCGTGCTGATGCTTTCTGTGTTCAGGTAGAGTGGTTAAAGATCATGACCAACAATGGCAAAGGAAACGATGCACGCTTGGAGTTGCATTTCTTTTGATAGAGTAGACTGGTTGCTTGTGTCCGCAGAGGCAAGACAGATCTTCAGCCAGCGGGCAGCTCAGACTCAGAACAAGAAGAAACAAAATTTGTGTTGTTTTGGGCCTTTTGGGCCTTCTAATCTACATTTTATGCACAGCGATTGATTTGCATATGCCGCAAGCTGAATCAATCAGGGAGCCTTGAGGCGTGGAAAAGGACACCTAGTCTATAAGATACCGCCTGCACCAGACACCTGCGCAAGTCCCCTTCGCCGGTCTCCTTCGCAACATTGTCATTGAGCATTTAGGGGGAGGGAGTGGTTGGCTGTTGTGTGCAGACCAGGTTTTATGTGATTTGTGGAGATCACATTGACCACTGAGTCTCTTGATCTCTTGAGTGATGATTTGGCAGCCAGCATAGACTGGTGTTGCTGCAATTGTTTGTCAGTCCTGGCGGCTTCAAGTCTTCAGGTTCGTACTTGACGCACTCGCCACACCTACTACACCAGAGCTCCAGGCCCAATTGAGCGATCTCCGGCGGGCGCACGGCTCTTAGTCTTAGACCCGTTTTAGGACTTTAATATACGCATACTAAGAATACTATACTATAAAGGGGATGTAATTTCCTCCGAAAAATCGGGGTGGTTGGGCACCCTGATACGCAACTCTTATAGCCAACTTGTGTTTGTTAATTTGGAGGCTTGTAAGTAGCAACCTGGAAGTTTCTCGATCTTCTAGGAAACAGAGCATTTTTGCAAGTGTGGTTCTATGTATATACAGGGGTTATGAGTGAGGCAACTCTTGGTACCTCACGCATACGGATTCTATAGATTCTGAAGAAAATTGTTTGCTTTATTTTGAATGTACGGCACCGCAATTCTATAGAGTCATCAATGCGTGTTGTCATTTTCCGTTTGATTAAGTTCAAAGTGCTCCAAAAGGATCAGCCAAAAAACTGTTTTGCAGCCCGTGGACGATTCTGGGAAGGGAAAAGGTGGGCTATGTTTGAACACAATGGAGCACTACAGTATAACTGTAATTATAAGCATAAGTTCGCAGTCGTTGGCCTGTGCAAGAGCCTTTGTCTTCTCTCCAGAATTGTGGTCCTTCCATAGTTCCTTCCATCAGGTGAGTTGATGCCGGATATTTTTTGTTTGGTTCCACTGTCCGGTACCTTAGTTCTGTCAGTTCTGTAGAGATCCATATGTATAAGCGTTCAAAAACCACGTGTCCGAAAGTATCGTAAGCCTACCAGGACCTTTTTATGGAGCAATACTATCAATGTGTTCTGGTTTTTGCCGGCTATAATGTAATATAATATGTATAGCTGAAGCCTTGCTTCTTGAGTATTAACATAGGGGGCCGTACTGAGTGGATAAAACCCAGGGCGTCAGTGCCTAGACTATATTTGTGTGCCAGCCGGCCAGCAACCTAACAAGGGGGTCTATCCCTCAAAAAAAGTCCACCCAAGTAAGGAGGGAATAAATTTTTCGGGGGGGCATGATTTGAGGATCAGTGCCACAGTGCATTAAAATTATCCAGAATTAATGTATTACATGTCACATGTCCTAGAATTTTATCTACTCAGTAGTGGGAGTGGAAAAGGAAAGAACAGATTTTCCGGAGCCGTTTCGTCGATCTTATTCGTCTAACTTGCTAACCTCCGGCCTTCTTAAAATTATCTATTTGCATTGGTCAACGACTTTTTGGCGGGGCCTTATCTTGAACCTCTAGCCTTCAAATTTATCCACCTGTTTTGGCTGAGAAAGGGTCAGTCCCCGCAAAAAATCCTGTACTGACCCTAGGTCCCAGTACAACCGGGCACTTTTTGAAGGAAGTCGGGCCCAAAATTTTAGCACTATAACGATTCGCATAAAATCGCTACCCCCGAGGTACTCATCACGGAAGGTAGCGGTTACGCTACCTGAGTTTTCCTTTTGCTTTAGCAAAAATGTATTAACCCAGAGCTGCAGCCTATCTCTCGGAGAAATGGTCCCCGACATCTTCGTTTGCTGGCCGGGGGGGCCCCCCCTTTCAACTCCACCCTAGCGCGCCTCGGGGTCAACCGTTCGAAAACACTATAAATATCAGTGTTTTCAGCTCTTCCAGTCCTCAGCAGTGACAAAAAATCATGGAATTTACAGCGTTTTTTGTGGCTGTCCGGCAAAAAAACACCGCAAACACCGATGGTTTTTGATGCGTCTCGGTTAGAAAAATGACCGAAAAAAGACCAAAAACCAGGAAAGATCTTGTCAGAAAGGGTTTTTGAGGCTTTTGGAGGCTTCAAAATTGCACAAAACTATGGTATTTACAGGGTTTTGTGCACCTTCCCGGCAGAAAACGCCGGTATTTACACGGTTTTCTGCGCTTTTCCAGCGCTCAACCGTGGTGCGCCTTTGGATCGACGGCTACAAAATACCGTAAATACCAGTGTTTTCAGCTCCTCCTGTCTTCAAGCGTGGCCTTAGACCTTGCCGCGGCTGTGGATCGACGGCAACGAAACCTCGTAAATACCAGTGTTTTTGAGCACGTCCTGTTTGCAAGCATGGCCTGCGGCCACGCAATTTACAGGGTCGCCGCACGTCACTATGTAAATCCGAAGTTGCATTTGAGAAATATGTGACTCCTTTTGAAGGCACGTCAACCTGTATTGAAACCGCTAGACCGCTACAGCTTCTGGAGGCTTTGTCAAGCGTTTGTGCATTAGTTTTTCTTTCATCACGCTCACTCACTTCTCTTCAAACAAGTGGGGGGCCTCTCACCTCCTCCCGGATTACGCCTGATTCCCTGCTACCTTTCGTTCACCCCCCTCCTCTCTCAAGTTTAATTCCAACCCGGATCGCATACTATCATCAAAGGAAGTTTAGTTTACAAAACTTCCGTGTTACGGACATTCAACAGCTGTTCAACCACCACTCATCATACACCACTCATCAGATTTCGTGGCAGGTGCAGCAATTTGTGAACCTCCATGTGCAGATTTCGTGGCAGGTGCAATACAAAATGCGTTTTCGAGAGATAGCGGACGCACGAAATGCTGTATTTTTCAATAGAACCGGTGGCTTCGAACCTGGCAAGTCTAGCTCTGCGGAACGACTGTTGCGAGACGGTCTCGGGTCATGGTCGGTCGGCCGTGCCGTCCATTGTGATTAGGTTTTCGCTTGTCTCTTGAAGTGCAGATTTCGTGGCAGGCGCAGCACTTTGTGAACCTCCATGTGCAGATTTCGTGGCAGGCACAGCACTTTGTGAACCTCCATGTGCAGATGTCGTGGCAGGTGCAGCACTTTGTGAACCTCCAGGTGCAGATTTCGTGGCAGGCACAGCACTTTGTGAACCTCCAGGTGCAGATTTCATGTCAGGCACAGCACTCTGTGTACTTTGTGAACCTCCAGGTGCAGATTTCATGTCAGGCACAGCACTTTGTGAACCTCCATGTGCACATTTCGTGGCAGGCACAGCACTTTGTGAACCTCCAGGTGCAGATTTCGTGGCAGGTGCAGCACTTTGTGAACCTCCATGTGCAGATTTCGTGGCAGGCACAGCACTTTGTGAGCCTCCATGTGCAGATTTCGTGGCAGGCACAGCACTTTGTGAACCTCCATGTGCAGATTTCGTGGCAGGTGCAGCACTTTGTGAACCTCCATGTGCAGATTTCGTGGCAGGTGCAGCACTTTGTGAACCTCCATGTGCAGATTTCGTGGCAGGCACAGCACTTTGTGAACCTCCATGTGCAGATTTCGTGGCAGGCACAGCATCTGGGGAGCTGGAAGCTGAGAACTGGCGGCTCTTGTAGTACAACTTCAGTACGCGGAGCAATTTGTGAGCTGGAAGCTGAGAACTGGCGACATTGTAGTACAACTTTAGTACGCGGAGTATCTGGCAAGCTGGGCGATGAGAACTGGCGACTTTGTAGCACAACTTCAGCACGCGGAGCAATCTGTGCAGCTAGAAGCTGAGAACTGGCGACTTCGTAGTACAACTTTAGTACACGGAGTATCTGGCGAGCTGGACGAGGAGAACTGGCGACTTTGTAGTACAACTTTACTACGCGGAGTATCTGTGGAGCTGGATGGTGAGAACTGGCGACTTTCT